GTTGCCTTAGAGCCCCCTTTACCCAGCCAGATGGAAGGCTGAGTCAACCTTGAACCGGTGAGATTTGAACAGCCGAACTGCAGAACTGCAGTCAGCTGAAGTAGCCTGCAGTGCTGCATTTAACCACTGTGCCACCTCGGCTCTAACACAATCTTCAAATACGAGATCCAAAGGCAGCATGAAACCCATGGAAAGGATTGAGCCATGAAATGCTGCTGGTTATTTGCAAGTTCTGTCCTATAGCTTGTTAGCTATCACAGTGGGTGTGTCAAAACACCTGGGATAAACATTCAGACATACACATCCAGTATCCTCTTTTAACGACCCCAGAATCCCTTTTGGGGTGAAGTCTGAACAAGTGAATGGAGCTAGCAGAGTGTTTTACTGGCTGAATGCCCCTCCTGTCACCAATGCGGAGTTTAGTTCAGCAGATATATTCTCATGGTGCCCCTAGAGAGAAATATCGGCTTCTACCTAGGATTGAACTCACAGCCTTCTGATTGTGGTGAGAGCTCCACCTCTAGCTACCACACCATACAATGTACAAATCTAGTATGTTCGTAAGTAAAAGTTTTATGCTTCCTTTTGTAAAAACTAGAAAACAAGGGTCCCACTTGAGAGAGATTTCCTTCTCTAACCATCATAGCCTTTTTCACCACAGGTGGTCAAACAAGCAGTGGAAGTAGTGGCAACTTCCTGCTGTCCTCCCCACTGGCTTTGCTTGTGGGAAGTTGGCGGGGAGCATTGGAAATCACAAAGACACAACACTGCAGCAGCAGCTGCAACTGGTGTGACGATCCTTGAAATTTTAATTGCATAAAAGAGATCCCAGATTTTGCACACCTTCTTCACCTTAGGGGATTTGAGGCACCACGATTCCGCGCCCCCACCCCAAAAAAAATTACAATGCACCATTTGGTCTAACTGAAGGTTACAGATGGACAAAGAGATTTAATAATGTATAGATAAAAGGAAATGTTAAATAGTAAAACTACTGTGGACCGAAAAATTATCTTGAGATCAAAAGACCAGAAGAGGGGCCCAATCTATTCTCCAAAGCATCTAATGGCAGGAACAGAAGCAACGGATGGAAACTAATCAAGGAGAGAAGCAACCTAGAACCAAGGAGAAATTTCTTGAGCTTGTCAACAATTAATCCATGGAACAACTTCCCTCCAGCTTGTGGGAGCTTCATCACTGGAGGTTTTAAGAAAAGATTGGACAACAATTTGTCTGAAATGGTATATGGCAGGGGTCCTCAAACTATGGTCCAGGGGCTGGATATGACCGCTGAAGCTATTAATCAGGCCAGAGAGGGACCACAAGGCTGCCCTACCCTCCCCACCCTCCAGAGGGAGGGAGAGAGAGAGAGAGGCGCACTCCCCTCAAGGCAGCCACATCCCTTCACTACCCTGCTTTCCACCTCCAGGAGCATTACAAATTAAAGTTTTATTTGTGTGTATTGCTTAATGGACTGCTAAATTGGCCATGCCCACCTGGTCACATGCCCACCTAGCCGCACCCATCCAGCCAGTCCACTCCCCTTCCCCACGGTTTGAGGGATCGTGAATTGGCTCCCTGTTTAAAATGTTTGAGAACCCCTGGTACATGATTCCCTGCTTGAGCAGGGCGTTGGACTAGAAGACCTCCAAGGTCCCTTCCAACTCTGTTATTGTGTTATACCGGTGCCTAGCAGTTACATCCGGACTCTTCATAAATGCCACCCAATTTGGAAGATTTTATGATTGGCTAAAGAAAGGAAACTAGAAAAGAAAGTAGGCAGAAGATATAGAACCCAGACGAGGCACTGTTAAATGGAAAAGGGGGGAGAGGAAAACAGAAAAAATATTAAATATATAAGTATATATCTAAGAGTGATACATAAAGGGGAGAAATATAGTTAGGATAGATTAGGGAATAAGAGATGATATCAAATTATAATTGGGTTTGCAGAAATATTATCCCAAGGAAACATAAACTGAGACCTGAAAGAGACCCCTACAATAATAGAAAAGAAAGAGAGAGAGGAGGAGAGAATGAAAGGAAGATGGGGGAAAGAAGAATGAAGTAAGGAGAGGAGGATGGGAGAGGAAGTGAAGGAGAGAGGGTAGGAAGAGGAAGAGAAAAAGTAGGAGTAGGAGAAAGATAAGGGTAGAAGGAAGGGAAAGGGGGGAAGGGAAAGAGGAGGAAGGAGGAAAGTAGAGAAGGGGGGGAGGGAGAAAAGAAAGGGAAAAGAAGGTGGTGTTACAACAGGAGGAAGGGATGGTAAATAAAGCAACCAAACTATATTATTATATTATATTATAACCTATTAAATGAAATGATAAATGTATAAGAATGATAAATGTAAAGAAGAATAACAATGTGAATGTATACTTAAAATGGTATGTCAGAGAATAAAATAAATAAATAAAATTCTTTAAAAAATAAATAAAATAAATGCCACCTGGTTTCAGGAGACGGCTCTGAAGGTGGACCACTGGGGGGCATCTTTGGAGAAAGAACTGAACAAGCTGAATAACAAGAACAAAGAATTTTTAAACCTTGACTCAAAACAATCACCCTGGCTGGGATTCAGGGGCTGTAGGCTCATCGATTCAGTGTGCCAGTTGTGCCCATTGCGAAGGCTGGTTTGGACTGGCACAAGCAGATGGAAAAGGAGACGGAAAGGAGGTTTTAATTTAGGCTTACACCTGCCACCTTCTGAACCTTGGCATGCCCTGTAACCATGACTGCCATGTTCTGGGATGAACCAAAAGATTTACTGGAGTCATGGTGTTCCCATCCTAGAAGTTGCCCACCTCAAGTGTGTAAGAAACGGAACAGAACAGAATAACAGAGATGGAAGGGACCTTAGAGGTCTTCTAGTCCAACCCCTTGCTTAGACAAAACCTATAGATCTCCTGCCTCAAAGGAGAGCCTGCGAACAGGGGATGGATCCCGGTGCCCATGTTCCCCAGACAGCAGAGCCCATGGCATTGAAAAGATCCTAATGGATGCCTCCTGCGTGCTCCCTGCAGGCATTTTTAGCCAGGGATGGGTGATGCCCCATTTGCATTTCCCCGCAGCATTTCCTTCTGCGCGACCTGTTGCCTTGGGAGCTGGATCGACCGACGCCTCCTTGCACAGCAGCCGAGGAAGTGCGAGGGGGAAGCAGAGCTGTGCGCCTGGCATTTCTGCACAGCGCTCCCACCTTTACCTCATCCTTCCAGGCTCCCAGGACGTCTGGGAATTGTAGTCCAGTATATCTGCAAACACTACCCATACAACCTGTTGCGTCCTTTCGACGCAGCCGGCAGGCATGGCCAGAGCCTCAGGCTCCTGATTGGCTCTGGTGGGCCAGCCAGCCGGCGGGAGAAATGCCGGACGCCGATTGGCTACCTGCCTGACAGCTGTCAAATATAAATAGCTGTCAGGCGGGCTTCTGTTTGTTCATGTTCTGAGTTCGCTGTTGCCTGTTATACGTTAATAAAAGCTGATTCGTTTACCTCAGCGCCTCGTTCTTAAAACTGGCGACGAGGATGAGCAACACGGACCCCATTATCGTCCCAGCCTTGGCTCCTTCTTTGGTTTTCATCGCTTTTCGCCCAGAGGCTGAATCCTGGGACGCTTTTCTGGAGAGGTTTGAGGTTTTCCTGCAAGCGCATGACCTCTCCGATCTCCCTGAAGGGAGGAGACGGGGCACATTCCTCCACTACTGTGGCCCAGAAACGTTTGCCACCGCAAGAGCTTTTTCTGCACCGACCCCGGTGCACACGATGCCTCTCGACCTTCTCATGGCTAGGCTCAAGATCCACTATGAGCCAACGCCATCTAAGTATTCCCGCCGGCAGTACTTCAGGGGGTGCATCCACCACTCGGGATGGCAGCATGTGCCTCAGCTGTGGTGGCCGCCATTCCAGGGCCTCCTGCCGCTTCAGAACCACCCTTTGCTGCAAGTGCGGTAGGAAGGGCCATATCGCAGCCGTTTGCCGCTCCGCTCCAGGGGATGCTCGCAGCCCAAGGCCCCCACCATCCGTTTCTTCTGCCCCATCTGCTGCCTCCCAATGTCCNGGTGGCTGCTCGTGACCGTGGTCGCTTCATGGCTGTTGTGTTGCGCTGCTGCGACAGAGCCCATGAGGCTGTGCCCGGCTCTTTGGGAGCCCACTCTCAAGAGAGCAGCCACTCAGCAACCCCAAAACAATAAACCCTCCCCTCATAATAAGGCCCAAGCCATATTTTGTGGGTGAAAAGAAAATAAGACGCTGCCTTATTTTCGAGGAAACATGGTAGGTCTGTATTATTCTTGGGAGAATAGATGATTGAGTGGCTGAGGAAAATCCATTGGTATGATCATATCAAAAGCAATAGAGATCACATTCTCTTGGAACTGAGACTGATTCTTATATTTATTGGGCAATTATTTTGGTTAGCAACACAGAAGTGATATATCATTGCCTCCTTTGCACTCTTCAGTTTAATCCATAGCTCTGGGGTTTCCTAGTGGATTCCCATCCATGAACTTCATCAGATAACTCAGTGTATTTGAAGTCCAGGTATGCATCCACCTGATTTTAATTGAAAGATGTGAGTAATGTGTTAGAAATCTCTATGCATTGTCTTAAAGATTGACTTCTGAAGTTTTTTGTGATGTCATACTTTCTTTGCCTAGTGGACCCAAAGGAATAAATATAAACAATTTGTGTCTTTTTGGTTGTCATTTTCTAAAGGGGAACTTTATTTCATGTCAACTAGAATACCAAGTGCCACCGCTCCGAATGGAGTCATTTACAAAATAGTTGACACATCACGGTAAGACTTGGAACATTTTTGCTTATAAACATGTAAATGCTGTTTTGAAGAAAAAATGGCCTTATTTACTGAGTTTGAGTCTTTCTTATCATAAAGAAATTGTCAACCTTTTGTTGAATCTGCAACAAATACTGCTTATCACAATACCTCTAACAGTGAATTTCTTCCAATAGAAATGACTATTTGGCCATTTATGTAAGTTCTTTGCTGTTATTTATGTTTGTGATACTCTGTATGTTTTCTCTTATTTTCATCAGGAGAGCACCACCTGGAAAATGCCATGTTGACCCTTTGCCAGTAAAAGTGAAAGGCAGGCCCATTAAATTTGCTTCAAAGGAAAGTGAGTAATGGAGATTCCGTATTTTTTGGAGTATAAGACACATCGGAGTATAAGATGTACCAAGGTTTTGAAGAGGCAATTTTTTAAAAAAGTCAGTAGGTAGCTAGAGGGATAGAAGGGAGCGAAAGAAAGAGAAATACAGTAGGTAGGTACTGTAGGTAGAGAGAGTAGTTAGGTAGGTAGGTAGATAAAGGGATAGAGAAAGGGAGAAATAGAGATAGATGATAGATAGATAGATAGATAGATAGATAGATAGATAGATGATAGATAGATAGATAGATAGATAGATAGAT